CCAGCAGGGCTGGAGTACTCCCCACCCCCACTCACTGGGGTTGGGCTAGAATAACCCAGGCCACAGGCAGAGGTTGCTCCAACCCGGCTGCTCCTAGCCCCATGCAGGGGCTGCTGCCATGGTTCCCTTCACCCTTACTCCCACAAGGGCTGCCTATTCTGCCATGGTTCCCAACCCCCCTCATAAGCTGGGAGCCAGCAGCCCCATGTGGGGGGCCCAGCCCCCCAGGTGGGGCCTGCTCCCAGGTACCAGTTAACTGGTACCCAGTATGCATAATCCATTAAGGGTGATGCTTACCGGGTAACTGTTTAATTGTTTGTCTGTTAACATCCCTATCTAAAGAGATTTCTGTTATTTCTTGCTTTCTAAGAAAGCTTTGTGAGAAATCTTGCTACATTGTGCTGCTTGAAACCATATCTCCAACTGACAAATGAAGTCCTGGTAATTATCAGACCATAGGCCAAATTCATTGCTCATCTAATTCCATTGAAGGCTTATCTTGCTTAGGGACATTTGCACGTGTATAAATTTCCCTCAGATGTACAAACCCTCAGACTCTATTGGCATCATTTACTACTATTCCAAAAATTTGTAACAAATTACTTAGTCGATTATTTTTGCCTTTATTTAGGTACAAATTTCAGGTGTTCTGTCTACAATTCTCTGAAATTTGTTATTTCCTCTGCTAATCTTTGTTCATTGCAATATTTGGTTATGTAAATCAAAATATAAATTGTTTGGCTGATTTCGATTGCACATCTAGGTCACAAAGTCTTGTTTTTGTCTCCTTACTAGATGACTAAAACTTTTAGGACAAGATTTCTGTGTCAAGTATTCAGACACACAATAGTTCAAGTTGATTCATTAATATTCTCTAATGGTAACCCAAAATGTTCTGTTTCCACTGGTATTTCAGCCTCTAAATTTGTTTTGTTAGAATAATTATGAAAAGTCAACACAAAAGGTGTGTAGATTCAGGCAAAGCAAACTTTGATTTTGTTTTTAGCGTGATTGCATTTAAAATTATTTTATTAAAATGTACCTATTTTCTTTTCATCAATGAAATTACAGATGAAAAATCAAAAACAATATTTTACCAAAACATTATCCAATAAAATAACAGAGTTAGAAAAATAGTTCCAGCATATGGAGGTAAAATATAATAGGTAGAAAATGTCTGTGAGAAATGGGCTAGCCATTTCAATTACCAGATTTAACCAGAAAATTCAGTCACCTCTGAGGGTTTATTAATCAAATGTTGAGAGTTCTGAATTTCTGATGGGGCATTACATAGCCCCAATAGTCTTATCTTGAAATTCCTGAAAAAATACATTTCTTTAAAATTTGCTTTAAATTAGTGGGCATTTTTTTCAGTTAAATAAAGTGAGATGATTGCAAAAATGCCTAATTTTTAAAGCATAAATTTATCCGTGCTCAAGATAACTATTTAAATGGTTATTGTGTGTAGCCTTAGAAGTATGTACACAAAGGGTGAAATTCACCTCCAGTGCAGAGGTTCAGTATAAAGTCCTCCACATCACTTAAACCTCACATAAGAGGCCACACAATTGAATGAATGTTCAGAAGTACCTGCATATCAACTTCTCCTCTCCCTGCCTATTCACAGATGGTCTCTTGGAGCGTTGATTGGGATCTGTCCAGAAGATTAACCACTGATACACGTTTTTTGAGAGTCACCTCTGTGCAAGAAGCCCGGGGTTGATATTCCCTCCTCTAGGCTAGAGTAGCAGCCACAGGGTCAGTGTGGATGCACCATGCTCTGGAGAGGATGAATTTCACCTTTCCAAACTCCCTGCATGCCATTCAAATAGACTTTTAATGATCTAAAAAAGTGCTGTGTTTGGAGCAACTTCAGACATGGTAAAACTGAATGTGTGCTTAACAGAGCTGTGGGGCAAGGGTGTGTGTAAAGAAGGATATGGGACATGAACAAGATTATTTGGTTACTCAGCAAAGGCTAGTATACAGCACTGTAAAGCTTCAGATAAAAATAAACAAAAGGAAGAGTTCAAAATATTGCCATTTTAATAACAAAAGACCTCACTACTGCATCTCCTATTACATCTTGCTGAGTCTGCCAATCATTTTGTGTAAATTATAAAATGTGCAGATTAGAGGGGGTGGATTACTGTATTAATATGTTTCAAATATAGGAATAAAATAGAGTGTCTCAATCACCATTTGGAACAAGCTTGATGGGAAAAGGTGCTTAAGGCTGCTTCAAGTTGTAATCACATAATTGCTAGAATATTTCTTGGACACCTTGAAATAATACCAATTTTTCCAATGGCTCCACTTTCCATAATGAAATTTGAATGATTTATTCTTCTGTATCTTATTGTTTCTATTACAAGAGTCAAATGTACAATTTCCAGACCTATTTAATGTTAACTTTGTTCTTCATGTAACTCCATGGGCTTGCATAGTGTTACATCATGGGTGAATCTGATCCTATATAGCTGGTACTATAACTTCTAGACCACATATATATACACACATACACAAATACATTATCTTATACAAGCAATCTTTTGAATAAAAAAACTGGGAAGATAACTGTCTAAATTATATTATTTGTACCCAAAATAAATTGTTCTGCATATTTTTGCCCACAAAATTAGAACAATTCAAAATAGGAGATCAAGAGAAACACAGGAGAGAGAGAGCACACACGCCAAAACCCAATATTGTAGCATGTATGTGGCCTGGACTACTTCATTTCTGTGTTGAAACCAATTTGTGGCATTATGTTTCTATCTCCTGCATGTCCACATTGCCACAAGGTCTTATTTTTACAAAACAGACTCATCACTCATTCCCACAGGATGAAAACATGGTTAAATACTCGCTGTAAAAAAACCATTATGTGATGTGCTAGCCAAATGATACACATAACTCCAACGTAAGTGCTTTTTTGGCAGCTACTCAAAGGAGCAAAAAATCACATCGTTTTCAGCCCCAATGATAAGATTACACAAAAGAAAGCAAAATATACAAAATGGGTTGATGATAAATATTGTACAATAAATGGAGAATAAGCTGGTTTTCTTGCTGTCACACCCTTTACAGTTTACCGTAATTTTTCCATAACTAGGGACAGACGTGCCACTTATTCCATCCTTTGGGTGTCCCCAAAAAACAACAAAAATAAAGATCTGAAAAGATTCCTTTTCAGGAACTTCCTCCACCAACTATTTCCTCTTTTTCAAATGAGGTATTCAGAAAGGAAATGATGGCCAGTGCTAACATTCCCCATGGGAGGAACTCATCTTCCCTTCACATGCAGAGATGTGAGAATGTCCTCTAATGAGACACATCAGGAAAAGAAATAATCCTCTCACCAGTAGAGTATTCCCACCGGATAGTTGAGTCTGGTGCTTAGTCCAAGATGGCGCCATCACAGGAGCCATATTTTCCATTGGATAGTAAATGTCATATGGCACATGGAGATTAGAGAATATACTCCAGACTATACACACTATTTACTCCAGGTGGGTATAAATGGGGACCACTAAAACCTACCACACATCTTAACTCAGATCCTCCACTAGTGCTAAAAAGACTTAAGAGTGGAGAAGCAGGGTGGAGAAGTTCAACAACAGTTATATATAGAGCTGGATGCATGATTTGTTGCAACTTTTCCTTATTTGCAAGTCATTCACACAGTTCCCCTGATTTCTTCAGCCATATTTTTTTTTGTAACTGCGCCTGGACCATCTGAGCAAACAACTTTCAGCTTATGGGTTGTTCATGAGCTGTTGACATCAGACTTTTTTATTCATTTTTCATTTCTTATGGCATATGATTGGTCACTTACATCACACAGTACCCAAGAAACTTTTAAAACAGGAGGATAGTGAATAAAAAGTACACTTTTTCTGTGAAGCTCTTGCCTAGCTAGGGGACACAAACATGGTTAATAGAATGGCAGTGCAACACTGAAATGAATGTCTGCAAACACCATTGGAAAGAAGTCAATTGACTTTATCTGTGATTTTGAAATGGAGATGAGATCCACCAGTTTTGTTCATAGGACTTGTATGTGTAAATTGAGGGTAGAAAAGATTTCTGTTAAGACTAATGTGATTTACACTCACAAAGCAAGTTATAGATGCATTGAGGGGAGAACAGCCACCATTAATAGGAGCTAATTGCGGGAAGCCAATTATCCCCATTAGCATTATCAGGAATAATACTGATGCACTGTGGGGAGAAGACAACCGCAAATATAAAGATGTGTTTCCTTATTTTCTTAGTAAATCTTATGCTCAAAACAAGATAACTCCCAGCGCTTCCACTCCTCACCTAGGCCAAGCTCTGAAGTGAGAATCTGAGCAGAGTCAGGCTGACTCATTCTTCATTCATGAAGCTGCAATGAGAGTGTCTGCCAAGACTGAAAGATTTGGGGTGGTAGCCCTTGTGTGTGCTCTGCAGCCCCTCTTTAATATCAAAGGAAGTCCACACACACATACATTGAGACCTTCACTGAGAGAAAAGTTACTGGTCAGGAACATTCTCGTTAATCGCAGCTTCCATTGCATCTTTGAAGATGGATGCCAGCTTTGTCTTGGATTGCTCTTGTTTATCACTCTCTTGTCATTGACAAGCACCCAGCGGACACATTTATACCTTCTGTGGTGCCATAGCAGCATCTTAAACAGATACCTGTAACCCTAATGGTGGCCCTTTAAACGAAGAAAAAGCAGCAAAATGAAATGCAAGCGACATATTACCACACTTGTTTTAAATTGATATTTAATTAAAAAGTTAATTATTAATTAAGTTTATCAATCGCACATCAGTTGTTCAATAGAAAAGGGCTCATTCATTTAATTATCTGCATGCAACCGATAGTATATGCTTTTTAGACTGGCAAGGTTATCTCTGCATCTCTTCTAATTTAGATCAGTTTAGCTTCTAATCTATCCAGAGTGCTTCCTTTTGCAGGCTTTTGATTTGATCTATAAATGTTTACTTACAGAACTGTTAGGTATTAGAGGCTGATGAAATAAAGGAGAGAGCGCTGGCTGTGTTGCATTACGCTCGCTGAAGGATTCTGCTGCTGCTTGGTTAGAAAGAGCTTCTCTGGGTTTTCTTTCACTGTGCGCCTGCTGTAAAAGTTTCAAGAGAAGATAAACATCCACCCAGAAAGTATGTTAATAGCCCAAACAATGGGGAATCTTCAAAGGATGGGAGAGGCCTGAGAGCAGAGTATGGCGACAGACGCCACCACCGGGTAAATCATCCTACTGCCTTTGCTGCCTAAATGACCACAGGGTGCAGATCACGGTAGCCGCCCAAGAGCTGGCCATTTGTGAGTGGTGCCACATCTGGCCAAGAACAGTGGCAAAATGTGGTTATTCCTAAGAGTCCACTGGCTTAAGAAATCAGCCCAGGGCTTCTGTTCTCCCTTTCCACATCAGTTATTGGGTGTTAATCAA